GATTACTCTGGTAATGGTTTGAGTTTTAACAATTTAAGATTGTTTTCTGGGGCTGGAGAGATGGCTTAATGGTTAAGAGCAAGAGGACCTGGGTTCTATTCCCAGCAACCACATGGCAGTTCACAACTCTCTGTAACTCCAGTTCCAGGAGATCTGACACTCTCACACAGACATACATGCAAGACACCACATAAAATAAGAATAAATAAATATTTTTTTAAAAAGATTATTTTCTAGTCAGTACCGTGGTGGGATGTGCCTTTAATCCCAGCACTTGGAGGACAGCCAGGGCTATACACAGAGAAACCCTGTCTCAAAAAACCAAAAAAAAAAAACCCAAAAAACAAAAACAAAAACAAAAACAACAACAAAAACCCCAAAACCAAAAACAGACAAACCAAAAACAAAAAATCCAAAAAAAAAAAAAAAAATGTTTTCTACAGGTAAAGTAGTATGTTATCATTTAAAATGGAAGCAAGCTATTTCTCTTTCTAATTACTTCTTGGTTATCATTTCATGCCAATGAGGGCACATCTGATCTACCTTTGAAAGGCTGTTTGCTTGGTAGTACATGAGCAGTTAAACAAATAAACAAACAAATGAAAAACTAAAGAAGCCAGCTGGCTCTGGTCCTGCAGCAGGTCACCCAACCAGAGCTCCAGTTACTTTTCTGTAATGTTGACACACTGAAGGTCCCTGTTGCATGGGGTCTGTCTGAGTATCAAGTCGTGCCTGGCAGATGAAATCCTCAGTGATGATTCCATGACTTACTTATTCACTATTCAGGGTGAGTTTTGGACAAAGTCATGTAATCTGATTTCTTTGTAGGCAATTACTCTGGCACTCTGTGGGAATGAACAGGGAAGGAAGATTGTTAGATCTTGTTTAGACTTCTGCACAGTATGGTGGTATGGAATATTGGCTGTTGAGATATTACATGACCAAATGCTAGGCTCTACCCAGTACTGATGGGTGAGACAATCTCCCTCCAAAGTCCCACATTTAGAGGACGGTTCTGTTCATTTGACAGTTTTTCCTGAGTCCTTGATATGTTTTGGTTTGAGATGGGGGCCTTGCTATGTAGCCTGGCTGGTCTGGGCTGGGTCTGTAGACAAGGTTGGTTCCAGTTTTTCATTAATTCTGCCTCTGTCCCTCAAGTGCTGGGATCACAGGCCTGCACCACCATGACCTGCTTGACTTTTTTGTTTTGTTTTGTTTTGTTTTCTTGTTTTGTCTCACACTGTAACCCAAGCAATCACTGACTATGCAACAATCCGTCCAGCTTCCTGAGTGCTGAGGTTACAAGAGTGAGATACCAAACCCAGCTCCTTACTACCGGTTTAGCTACAGAAAATAAGAACAAGTAAGTGATTGGTGCTCTGAGGCGCTTCCATTCCAGGACACATTTATGACTGAGGATGATGGGAGAAAAACAATACGTAGGCCAACAAACGAACAAGAACGTCAACTCAGCCCACATCTCTTGATTGAACATAAGTTCCATCAGCACTCGGTGATGTTAAAACACCCAACACACCCTGGACAAGTTTAATGATCATCTTCCATAAAGAAGCTTGGGAGCTCCTTCTCTGGGCTAAATGGAAAGGGGGGTTCGCGTTGAGCCTCGGGGGCCCTCGGTGAGATGACCCGCCCCGCCCCACTTCGCAGTCCCGGCAAGCTAGGAAGCCAAGGTTCCGGCCCCGGAGGCTTCGGCTTGACAGCGCGAGGGCTCAGGCCGAGGCTGAAGCAGAGCGATCGGCGGCACACCGGTTCCGGAACCCTTCAGCCCCACGGCCTGCGCGCGCCGGCGGCGGTTGCGGCCCCGCGTCGGGAGGACTTCCGGCGTGTGCCGGGGTGGCCGGATGACGTGGCTGAGTC